TTGAAATAAATCATGAAACAAACGTAAATGCATCTGTTCAGTAAACCATCATAGGAGGGTGGGGGTATCAAGTTTGATTAAACTCAGCACAGGAATGCCTGGGAAATTGTTGCTGACATGTAGTGTTGAGATTTTGTGATTTTATTACTATTTCGGATACTTATTGTGTAAGATGGTATTTCTACTTTCCCATTATTATATAATTAGATTAGTATCCATATACAAACATACTAAATATATTACAATGGCATTAATCTTTATACAATCTAATGCATTTTCCACACAATGTTATTCAGCAAGTTGAGAGAAAATGTTAACTACAAAGTGAAAAATATTGATATGATTGAGTAAAGGTATATGTTCAGTTGTAAGCACTGAGTGATGAACAGAGGAATGATTCTATATATAATTAGGAATGAACCACCTCAGGATTTCCCTTGCATGCAGTTTTTGAGCCGTCCTTTTTGGGGAAGTTAAAATGAAACTAATTCTTAATGTTTCGAGCATATTGGTATAAAATAAAACAACCACTGACTCGAAAATGCATGTTGGCTGGTATATCACCATGATTTTAAATTGGCTAAATACTACCATGAAACTGACAAATATATCCACAATGCAATGTGCCAACCAGCCATACCATAATTACAAATTATAGACATAAATGGTAATCAATATGATGCATGTTCTTTTTTTTTTTAAAAAGAAGTCGGAAACAAAAACGTTAACAAAAGAATATCTTACTAGTTACCTTATTAAAAACATAGATAAACACAGGTGGAACACTGACCACAAAATATAAATTTTGATAGTCAAACAATTTCGGAATTCCCAAGATAAATATAAACTGATTTAATCTTCAACGTTTGTCAAACCATTTTTTGACCAAGTTGAACTACTCACTTCATACAAAATGAAATAGATGATATCTCATGAGTAACCCACAATATCTGATCTATTGAATGAGTATAATAATTTTCGTTTGTTCTGAAGAAAGCATTATGAACACCAATTACCATTAGTTTACTCTCGATTATCTGGAATTCATTGGTAACATAATTTCGATCTGCTTACATGCACCAATCAGACTACCGAGATTTTTATTACAAAGTATGGAGATATAGACAATTATTACACTGTTTTATTACACTGAAATGCCATGTTGTATGGGAGGTATATATGTATAACACATAAGCCAACAATAATATACACCTTTAACAATTACCATACAATCAAAATCCATGATTCACAAATGTATTATAGACACAGTTAGATTGTCAGACAATCATTCGTCATTTAGGCAACAAAATACTTATCCCATCTCCTGAAATCAGACATCTGTAATTACAGTTCCAAATGTCAGGTTACAGTCTCCATGGATACGAATAGTTAAGATTAATTCTTTAGTTATTTCTGATACTGCAGCATTAAATGACTAACTTCACAGCAGAGCAGTAGATCAAAGGTTGCATCAAATATGGAATAAATGACATTTAATCAGGGATAAATTGATTTTTTTCTCATGACAGGCATGATTTTTCATCTTCAAATCAGATCCGAGGCTACGGATCAACCGGAACCATTTGTCAACACATTTCACTCTGATTATTATCTTATCCCGTATACTCGAATGAATTGTCAGTATGTATATATAAAACGATCATCAAAACCAGGGGGTAGGAAAGGAAGATAAAACACATTGAAAGGAAATAAGATTCATGATATTGGAAGGAGTTTCCAATGAACCCCCCCCCCCCCATTTTAAACTGGAACCTTAACAATTCAGCCCCAATGTAATTGCATATGTATCTCCAAATAAGTGTCCTGAAGAGGAGTATATAGATTAAGGGGGCGCCGAGGCAGGGTTAGGATTAGAGTTGTGGATGAGGGGCCTTAAGGAATACTTACCATGCCATTAAAATTAAATACATAACATGTCACAGGTCATAAAAACTGACAATGGGTAGTATTGCAAAACAAATCACATCATCGATTTTTCATACACATGATACAAAACATTATTTAATCCGAGTAGGGGCCATTGTACTTATGGGTGAACGCTTTTTATCTTATTAGGCACATAATATAATAAATTTGGACTTAACATTCAATGTTACGACTATGCCAATAACAACAAATAAATAACTGAGGAATATTCCTAGACCACAAATAAATAACTGAGGAATATTCCTAATTTATTCAGTGAATTTACTGAGGCACTTAGTTTATGTTATCAAAGAGGTGGAACGAGTTTTAGCCCATAAATGGTCATAAATATCCTATTATAACATTACCACAATCGCAGATATTTCCAAGTGAATTTTCACTGTTTCAGTACTTTTAATGAAACAATGCTTCTATAAGCTTAAAATGACTGACACAGTTGAATGTGTGACAATGTAGCCATTCATCGTTTCTCAAAAAAAAAACAACATTACTCTGTGTTGATAGACAACTATAGTCTGTGTAGTATGCATCATCATTTTTTAACATACAAGTTGCAATGTATAACTGATGTCATAGTCATACACCCCCGGTAACAGGAAGAAAGGCCACAAGTCATGGCCTAATGTAGCCCCAACTTCTGACCCAGTGTATATAAGCTGACGTGTGTGTGATAGACAAAATTGATTTTATGTCAAATGGGAGGTGTGGATTATACAATCACTAAATCAATTTACCATAGCATTATCAAGTACTGTCAGATAATGTAACATCATAAGCCCTTATTTTTCAAAAGTGCATATCATTATAGACAATTTGGAATGTATCTTGGATGTTTTTGGGGGGAAAAAATAACTTTTCACAGCTTTAATTATTGAGTGAAACATTATGATGGCAGAAATTGACACTATTTGAACTAACCCAGAAAAATGTGTATACATTTTCAAAAAACTGTTTAAATGTTCCTTCTATTCGTAAGTGTAAATTAATATATCAATATGCAAATAATTCACCTTATCAACTTTTATAGAGCTTTTGTATGATCGATATTCGTATATAAATCATCAATAATCTCAGTCAAGCAATTTAATTTAATTTAATTTGTATGTGGCAATTAAAAGTGGAAGAGAAGCAAATGACACAAATTTCATATTAGTCAATCAGTCTAAACACCACTAGCACTACTTATACATTCTATACATGTCCTTCTATGATGAATTTCATTTTACGATACAGGATGCTGTTACATTTCAATTGCAGTGCAGGAAACATTAGTAATTTAAACAGGGGAAAATGCCATCAAATCATCATTTACGAAAAACATAACCATTGCAAATTACAGTGTTCCTATCTTTGTGAAATAAGCTTAGCTAAATGGCATCATGATTGATGGTGTGCATGCCTCACCTTTAAAGCAGAATGTACATGAGTTGTGATTCTGCATTACTAATGTCAGTTTTCATTTCTTTATAGTTTATCATTGCAACTTATTCCATCTGTGTCGATGTAGTTTTGTTTGGCACTTAAATACTGTAGAACTCCTGGGACTCATTTGAAGGCAAAGTATAAGGTTCTTTTTTGTCACACACCATATTTAAGGGATGGCTTTCTCATGCTTATTATACTCCAAGCATAGATGTATTTAATTAAGGGAAATTGATAAACCATGAGATGTTAAATTATTTAAAATTTACTAATAAACTACATACTCATATTACATGACATATACTTTGAGATATCTAATTGTATGAACCAGTGCTCTTGGACTCACCAAGATATACCAATATCAAACATGGTATCCATTTGGATGTGGTGTGATGCAAAAATAAAGATTCAACAGAATTATTTATTCCCCTTGGAACTTATAAAGTGCATGCACAATTAATATAAGCTTTTGGTCAGAAATTCATGGAACACTTGTAAACTACATCACTCAATTGTTAATAATTTATTCCAGGAATGAAATATTGCAGGAAGAGTTTATAATATATTACGGGATATGTGTGGGGGATGAATATTCCTGAACTGATTAATTGATACATGTGATTGTATTGCATAAACGCTATGAATTATTTCATGACAAAGTCAAACATGCACCATTAATGGTGTAATACCTGAAATGGAACAGTTTCTGGCCATTGTTCAGTAGATGTAAAAGATAAGATATAGTTGACCTAAATAAATGCAGAGATTATTTATTTTATCGAAAATGAGAGAAAACTGCTTGACCATCAGGAATCAACTGCATATTAACATCCCCTTCTATAACCTCTATAGAGAAGTGCTATTTGTGCTGAGAAACAAACATGTTTGGAATTTCAGGTTATAAAGCAATTTAGTTAATAGCTTTAAAGACAGTGGGGAAGATCGGCAATGACCAATAACATATCTGAACAGCTAAATCATCTTTGATGACATCAGAGCTATAACATTATAAACTGATTGCTATACATGTGCTCATGACTGATAGAGACATGCCCACCTAAGAATTGTCACCAACATGTTGATAACCACTACTAATGAGGTCCCATCTCTTAGTCAAAGGCTGTTGTGGACTAGAAATAAATGTTTCAACCCTCATAAAGTGTTGAAAATAGTCACTTCCAGTTCCTTCCAAAATGTTAGCCAAACTAGTTGACCAATCACAATTCTGAAAGCTCCTAATATGCATGATATGTTTCAGAAGCATGTGTGTATAACAGCTCCTGTGCTTCAACAAAAACGAAACAAAGAAACAAGAAAGAAAAGAAAGCACTGCTACATTTGACAATACTCAATTTTTTTTCTATAAAATTATGACCAAAATGTTGAACAAAAATGGAAATATAGTACCGGTATCTATGAAATAAGTATCAGAATAGAGGTCATTATTATGCAGAATAGGTATGCATGTATTTGTATTTACCCTGAGCTAATCAGGTCTGTTTGTCAGAGCACTTAAGATCCAAGTTTCAAATATGCTGAGTGGTGCTTCTTTAAGATAACAGTAGAACATGTGCACATGCACAAATAAACTAATGAAAAAAATAAATAAATAAATATTGATCATTTCCAACCTTTCTGTGTAGTCCTATTGAACTCTCGTATTCTCGCATCACTTTCTTCATGGCAGTTGAAATTGCACAACCATCAAAATCTTCCCTCGTCACCCATCTGCAAGTAGGCTGATCGTCATGACAACATTCTATCTTCATACTGTCCACAGTAAGTGTTTCTATCATGTACGTCTGGTGAATATGAGAGAAGATGTGGACCAACTAACATGGGGAGAGAATGATATGGGTAAGTGATTTTTCACATCCATAGTTGACCACAACAAAAATTTGCATGACATTTTAATTAAAATAAAAAAAGGATTAGGGTAATCTTCACTAAGCCCTGTTTAAAATAATGAACAAAAACAAAAACAAAATTTCTTGGATTTGGTTTCAAGTTATAGATTTAGAAACGACTTTTATAAAGATAACAAATAGTTAATAATTATTATTATGAATATTCTGTGAATAAGTTGTACAGTCCCATCTTAATAAAGCTGTCCGAGCCAAGTTCAAGTTACCAACTACAGAGCATGTTACTGTACACACGTCATCATGGGAGAACCCATGTAAAAGATGTAAAAGATAGGATATAGTTGACCTAAATAAATGCAGAGATTATTTATTTTATCAAAAATGAGAGAAAACTGCTTGACCATCAGGAATCAACTGCATATTAACATCCCCTTCTATAACCTATAGAGAAGTGCTATTTGTGCTGAGAAACAAACATGTTTTGAATCTCAGGTGATAAAGCAATTTAGTTAATAGCTTTAAAGACAGTGGGGAAGATCGGCAATGACCAATAACCTATCTGCACAGCTAAATCATCTTTGATGACATCAGAGCTATAACATTATAAACTGATTGCTATACATGTGCTCATGATTGATAGAGACATGTTCACCTAACAATTGTCACCAACATGTTGATAACCACTACTAATGAGGTCCCATCTCTTAGTCAAAGGCTGTTGTGGACTAGAAATAAATGTTTCAACCTTCATAAAGTGTTGAAAATAGTCACTTCCAGTTCCAGTTCCTTCCAAAATTGTAGCCAAACTAGTAAGTTGATCAATCACAATTCTGAAAGCTCCTAATATGCATGATATGTTTCAGAAGCATGTGTGTATAACAGCTCCTGTGCTTCAACAAAAACGAAACAAAGAAACAAGAAAGAAAAGAAAGCACTGCTACATTTCACAATACTCAATTTTTTTCTATAAAATTATGACCAAAATGTTGAACAAAAATGAAATAAGCATCAGAATAGAGGTCATTATTATGCAGAATAGGTATGCATGTATTTGTATTTACCCTGAGCTAATCAGGTCTGTTTGTCAGAGCACTTAAGATCCAAGTTTCAAATATGCTGAGTGGTGCTTCTTTAAGATAACAGTAGAACATGTGCACATGCACAAATAAACTAATGAAAAAAATAAATAAATAAGTTCAGCCACTGTACACTGGGTGAGTGTGCCACAGACTCGATGGGGAGGTCAAAGCCACTGTACCCTGGGTAAGTGTGCCACAGACTCAATAGAGAGGCAAAAGCTACTGTACACTGGGTGAATGTGCCACAGACTCGATGGGGAGGTCAAAGCCACTGTACACTGGGTGAGTGTGCCACAGACTCGATGGAGAGGCAAAAGCCACTGTACCCTGGGTGAATGTGCCACAGACTCAATGGGGAGGCAAAAGCTACTGTACACTGGGTGAGTGTACCGCAGACTCAATAGAGAGGCAAATGCCACTGTACACTGGGTGAGTGTGCCACAGACTCGATGGGGAGGTCAAAGCCACTATACCCTGGGTAATTGTGCCACAGACTCAATAGAGAGGCAAAAGCTACTGTACACTGGGTGAATGTGCCACAGACTCGATGGGGGGGGGGGGCAAAGCCACTGTACACTGGGTGAGTGTGCCACAGACTCGATGGAGAGGCAAAAGCCACTGTACCCTGGGTGAATGTGCCAGACTCAATAGAGAGACAAATGCCACTGTACACTGGGTGAGTGTACCGCAGACTCAATAGAGAGGCAAATGCCACTGTACACTGGGTGAGTGTACCACAGACTCAATAGAGAGGCAAATGCCACTGTACACTGGGTGAGTGTGCCACAGACTCGATGGGGAGGTCAAAGCCACTGTACCCTGGGTGAGTGTGCCACAGACTCAATGGGGAGGCAAAAACCACTGTACCTCGGGGTGAGTGTGCCACAGACTCAACAGAGAAGCAAAAGCTACTGTACACTGGGTGAGTGTGCCACTGACTCAATAGAGAGGCAAAAACCACTGTACCCTGGGTGAGTGTGCCACTGACTCAGTAGAGAGGCAAAAGCCACTGTACCTTGGGTGAGTGTGCCACTGACTCAATAGAGAGACAAAAGCCACTGTACCCTGGGTGAGTGTACCACAGACTCAATAGAGAGGCAAATGCCACTGTACACTGGGTGAGTGTGCCACAGACTCGATGGGGAGGTCAAAGCCACTGTACCCTGGGTGAGTGTGCCACAGACTCAATGGGGAGGCAAAAACCACTGTACCTCGGGGTGAGTGTGCCACAGACTCAACAGAGAAGCAAAAGCTACTGTACACTGGGTGAGTATGCCACTGACTCAATAGAGAGGCAAAAACCACTGTACCCTGGGTGAGTGTGCCACTGACTCAGTAGAGAGGCAAAAGCCACTGTACCTTGGGTGAGTGTGCCACTGACTCAATAGAGAGACAAAAGCCACTGTACCCTGGGTGAGTGTGCCACTGACTCAATAGAGAGGCAAAAGCCACTGTACCTTGGGTGAGTGTGTCACAGACTCGATGGGGAAGGTCAAAGCCACTGTACCCTGGATGAGTGTGCCACTGACTCAATAGAGAGGCAAAAGCCACTGTACCCTGGGTGAGTGTGCCACTGACTCAATAGAGGCAAAAGCCACTGTACCTTGGGTGAGTGTGTCACAGACTCAATGGGGAGGCCAAAGCCATGGTACCCTGGGTGAGTGTGCCACAGACTCAATGGGGAGGTCAAAGCCACTGTACCCTGGGGTAGTGTGCCACAGACTCAATAAAGAGGCAAAAGCTACTGTACACTGGGTGAGTGTACCACAGATTCAATAGAGAGGCAAAAGCCACTGTACCCTGGGTGAGTGTGCCACAGACTCGATGGGAAGGTCAAAGCCACTGTACCCTGGGTGAGTCTGCCACAGACTCAATAGAGAGGCTAAAGCAACTGCACCCTGGGTGAGTGTGCCACTGACTCAATAGAGAGGCAAACGCCACTGTACACTGGGTGAGTGTGCCACAGACTCAATGGGGAAGTCAAAGCCTCTGTACCCTGGGTGAGTGTGCCACAGACTCAATAGAGAGGCAAAAGCTACTGTACACTGGGTGAGTGTGCCACAGACTCAATAGAGAGGCAAAAGCTACTGTACACTGGGTGAATGTGCCACAGACTCGATGGGGGGGGGGCAAAGCCACTGTACACTGGATGAGTGTGCCACAGACTCGATGGAGAGGCAAAAGCCACTGTACACTGGGTGAGTGTGTCACAGACTCGGTGGGGAGGTCAAAGCCACCATACCCTGGGTGAGTGTGCCACAGACTTGATGGGGAGGCCAAAGCCACTGTACCCTGGGTGAGTATGCCACAGACTCAATGGGGAGGCAAAACCACAGTACACTGGGTGAGTGTGCCAGACTCAATGGGGATGCCAAAGCCACTATACTCTTGGTTACTGTGCCACTGACTCAATGGGCTGACCAAAGCCACTGTACACCGGGTGAGTGTATCACAGACACAATAGAGAGTCAAAACCCACTGTACACTGAGTGAGTGTGCCACAGAATCAATGGGGAGGACAAAGCCACTGTACCCTGGGTGAGTGTGTCACTAACTCAATGAGTGCTCACTGTTTCACTCTTATGTACCCCGTTATTGATATTGATGTATTCAATAAGTGTTAAATTGGTGAAGAAATTACTGGTTAATAAAGATATAATGGCACAGTTTCCCATTTGTGTGCATTATTTCATTTGAAATTTGTATATTATTCTATTACCGGGTAATTATTATTTTACTAATAGCTAGTTACCAGCCGAAGCCTGGGCAGGTAACTAGTACACTAACCTTTACATTATTCCACAAATTTTTCAAAACCAGAATGTATCACATACCAACACATTTGCCTAACGTCCTTGCACAGACTCGATGGGAAGCCCAAAGCCAGTACTATAACTTGGGGGAGTGTGTCACAGACTCAACTGGGAGTTCAAAGCCACCGGCAAGATTCCTTCACTAGTGGCCAGAGATTTTGGGAGTACATTAGTTAAGATCCACAGGTGCATGTAATGGACTCAGTCTGGTTTAACTAGGGTAGGACATTAAATTACTATCCCAAACATATATGGTTTTCATAGCAAAATGTTTACTGTAAGCAATTATTAAATAAACTTTCAATCTCAGGAACAATAATAATAAAAAAAAAACTGCCGATAAATATAAATACTCACCTGCCCCACATTACGCCGTTTTTGCACAGTTCTAATATTAAACATAGTAACATTTTCCTTGAGGTATGTATCCATGGCAACTTGCCTCTTTTTCTCTGAAATATCCAAGGCACCCAGGAGTACGCTTGGGAATTCCCACATGTTTGCCAATAACCCTAGAAAAAACATTTATGATTACCATTTGATTGTCATATTTCCTGCCAAAATTATCAGGCAACTTTTCAATAATTTTATGTATTTGTGGTAGTAGTTGTGCGTGTTATTTTTTGGACATTTTAGAAGAAAATGATCATAAATTCAATAAAAAAATTGTAAACAATAACTAAATAAGTGAACTAAATATAAACAAAGTTTATTTCAAAATTAACATTCAAATCATTTTCAAGAATAACTAAAGTTTCAAGATGCAATTTCCAAGCAAATATGGTTGTCAAGCATGAAGCTGAAATATCAGTTCCTATTTCTAACATCACATCTTTGTACATTTTCTAAATAAAATATAAATGGAATTGATACAATCACAAAAATATGTTTGAGTAATATTAAGTTTTCGAAAAGCAAACAATTTTAAGTGACAATCTGCTGACCTCAGAAAATTAGATTCCGTCAACAAACCCGGAAAATCAGGAGTACTCACGTACAGATTTGACGATTGTTTGAGCAGGAATTACAGAAACTGTTTGAACAAAGACAATCAAGCCCTTGGGAAATACTAGTTGTCACCCATGTTTTTGTAAGATACCATAAAATTTACAAATATTGCACCATATCAAAGATTTGTTGGCATGTATAGGGATTCATCTCTGAATTTCACATTTCTGTTTGAGCGTGAAAGTTAAATTTTGACTTATTTCACAAAATATAACCCACAATTTTTTATTCATAATTTTTCCAAAATTTTGATAAATATCTGTAGCCAATAGGAAATTATGTTTAATTTAGTTCAATATTATCAAGAAAATACAAAAAATTCCAAAAAAACAGTCAAAACATTTGGTATGGAGTTCAAAAGACTAACCTGATATACTTAACAATTATAGTTACAATCTAATTGAACATTCGTGTCTGGCATAGTGAAACTGATGTAAAAATGATCAACACTTTTATATTGACTTAGGCATTATATCTACAGCCTGTCAATCACACAGAATAATAAAAAGCTATTAACATTCAAATTCTCAAGATAAAAATAACATATAATATGCAATAATATTGAACAAAAGTTCCATTAAATGAAAACGAGCAAATAAAAATTAAGATCTTTATTTCCATGGAAACATCAACTGTGTGATTTCCCTAAAGCATTAAGCCCCAGTGGCAGTTTTGACTTAAAAACTGGTTAAAATACACTCAATCTTCATTCATAATTTCAAAACCTAGTTCAGACTTTCAATTTGCCAAACATTAGGTTAAGTTTAGCAAAATTCAGGAAAATTCTGAATCAAAAATGTGCCATCTATAAAACAAAATTATAGTAACTTGACTCTACTGAACAAAAAAATAATGAACTTCAGAAGTTCATTAGTCATTGAAAAGGAAGGTATCTTAAAACACCACTATTCTATCATCGTTAGTCTGTTTTCTGGGTGGTATTCCCACATCACACACACTACATGTACCTACACTATGTTTTTTATATAAAGAAAAATGGACATAAACAATACCCACCATTCTAGTGCATATCATCAATCCCTATGCACATTCATGGTTCTGATGCCAGTGGCATTTAAATATCAATCAAAGAAAGCTTAGAAAGAACTCCCGTGTGCTGAGAGTATTAGAGACACAATAAAAATTAATTCAAAATTACTTGAACTTGAGATACTGATGGAAAAGCTTATGCAAATAAGGTAACTAATATGAACAGATATAAGTGTAAAACTAATAAGGTCTGCACAATGTAAAAGTAATAAGATCTGTGCAATGTAATATCTATGTACCAAGTTTCATTGAAATGTGATTAGAACCAAAGAA